CACAAATGAAATTCAAGAAAAAATGATAATACTTACAGGAATGACTTTTACTCAAAACTGCAATAAAATATTAATTTTATTTTGACTTATAATATAAAAAAATTTATTGTGCCTTCGGGTCCTCTTGTGATCTGGGAATATAGCCTTAATTCTAAATGGCATTTTCTTGCCCTTAACTTCCAAATAGTGTATGAATATGTGTGTGTGTGTGTGTGTGTGTGTGTGTGTGTGTTGAATATCCATTGGCAGTAACAAAGAGGTATCCCATTTGTGTTGCAAACAACAGGGATTAAATTAGTAACATCTGGTTGTGTGTGTCCTAGATCAATAGACGTCAGAAGGGACATAGTCCTCTGATAAGACAGTTCCATTTTTCCTTTCCCATTTTATGTTGGATATGCTGTTTCAATAAAAGAAATATAAAATCCTTGTTCTGGAGCACAGTTCCAAGAGAATTCTGCAGGAGAAGATTCTGAGAATTTTTTAGGTTCATCCTGGCTGAAATGTAAGTTAGAACAGGCTGTTTCTATTTAAGCAATGTCTTAATGTGTTACCATGTAGTTACCACCATAGATGCTCTTTCATAATAAAAACTAGTGTATAATTCTCATTTCATATATACAGTTGTAAAGTATATATGCATATATAAATGTAAAACTTTGTATAAGCAGACTTGTGTATAAATTCATGAATATGCTTATATATATGATGTCTGTAAATACCAGAATATGAATCTCAAAAGAAAAAATACTCTAAACACTTTTGGCTACTTAATGAATTGCTTTTGGAGTTTATTTTCAAATGATAAGGCTCTAAATTTGTATGATGCATATAAGCCTAATTGGGAAGAAGGCATGGTTAGTGAGAAGTGGTTTGAGTAGTATTGTTTTCTAAATATTGAATGGATTTTTTTTTGTGCAGAAAATCTCATAATATCAAATCTATATAATCAATTAGCCTCTTCTGATTTTCAATGTGAGTGAAGTAATTTGCATTCTATTTACCAATAAAGTAGGTAGTTTTTAATTTTATATATGATATATAAATAATCCTAATTTTGCAGGTGACTTGTTTTTCTGTTTCAAATAATTCCCACAGGCCCTGTGTTTCTGCGAGTTTGTGGCATATATTCATGACTTCTATGGCCTCTTCCTTTTCATAAAAATGTTTCCTATCTGCTCATATTGTGTTGTGCCTTCAAAAATTCATAGTGACATTGGATTTTTCTGCTCCATATTTCCAGTTCTGTCTCATCAAATAGAAACACTCTCAAGTTTAAGCCACTATCCCACAAACATTTTTATTTTAAAATATTTTTATTTATTATTTTTACTTTATATGTATGAATGTATTGCCTGCATGTATATAAGTGTGCCCATAGGGACAATGTTCACAAATGCCAGAAGCTGGCGGCAGATCTCCTAGAACTGGAGTTACTGTTGTTAGTTGCTATGTCCTCTGCAAGAGTAGCCAGTGCTCTTAAACACTGGGCCATCTCTTCAGCTCCAGCAAACTTTTTTAAATGAAACAAAATTTTCAAGAAACACTTATATTAATTAACATATAAATGAAAAAAATGACTGTGCTTATAATCTTTATAATATATAAATGTTCTTTTGAATAATGATTTGTTCCTGCAAACTTTTGTGTAAAATATAATTAAATAGCATGAAATATAGTGTGATTTCTACATTTAATGAATAACAAATAATTTTTCCTACTTTGTAAATGCATATTTCCATTTCTTAGGATGAATAAATACATAGGGACAAAAATAAGACTCCAAGAACTTTTCAGAGACTTATGTGTGAAAAGATATTTGAGATTCTATATCCAAAAGACCTTTAGCAATTTCTGAATATCATCATTATTTAGTCTACCAGTTGGTAAGAATTACAATTTCAAAATGTTATATGTATTATATAACTCCCCATGGTGGGAACAGGGAGGTGCAGCTCAGTGATAGAGTCTTTACTAGAATGTATGATGGCTTGGGTTTGAGCTACAGCACCATATAATAATGGTAATAACAATTGTGATGATGATGATGATGATGATAATAATAATAATAATAATAATAACCATGCTGTTCTATCTATGAGTTCTCCACAGGCACTGAATATTCAGAGAACAATTTGCTTTCATTTTAAAACTGGAGATTGACCACTCACCTTTTCTCAAAATTTCAGCAATAAAGTGCCCTACCTATCTCTTAACTTCTTCTTGTGCTCTGATTTATTTTATTTTATTTTT